GAATGACGTCCTCACATCCACACATTCATACATCCCTACATTCGATAATCATACGCATAATGCCATAGCAAAGACAAGTGTGAGCAAAAACCCAAACCCAAATCCCAGAAAGCCGAAACAAAATAAGAACGGGCAAACCGCCCGGAGCAATCAAAATGTATGTATACAGATGAAGGTGGTGGGGGGGGGAGGACAAGGAAACAACAAATCCACGTCCATCGACCTCAACTCTCTCTTCCTCTCTCTCTCTTTCCGATGCGGACAGTCCGTCGTCACGCACCAACCCACGAAGTTGTCACCCCGCTTAGTCCTTCCGCACCCGTCGGATTCGCCCATGCCCACAGTCCGTCGTGGCCCACGTTAATCCCGCGCGTTCGACACCAGCCCGTCGGGTCGCCCAACTCCTACTCTACTCACCTTTTACTTCGCTCGTGTGCCGACCCTTCCTGATCGCGCAACCCCGAGTTTCCAACAACGGGTTAAGAGAGCTGATTAATCGCGCATCCGAAATTTATAGCGTGCATGCATGCGAGAAGAACACGGATTTACCAGGACTTAGAGTGAAGATTAAAGAGGGAGCGCCTGCGCTCTGTATGATAGGCCGCGACGTGGGGGATGTAACCCTTCTCCACGCATCGATCCGAGCATGCAAGCCGCGACTTACAAAACTTCAGCAAAAGAAAGAGAAGGAGGGCGGAGGAGACGAAGTGCAAGAAGAGAGATACAGTTACAATGGCGTCCGCCCAAAATTACAGTTACACACGCGATTAAGGGCGCCTGCTAATCAGAGTTCCATTGCAGCCACATGAAGAAGCGCGAAAACAAAAGGCGCCGCTCGGCAGGGAAAATCCTAATTACTAAATTCCTAAATTCCTATCTAATGCGAGAAAGCAAAAAGAAGCACGAATTCAGAAGGAAAGTCCGAAATTCCGAGAGCCATTGGGGGCTCGACAAAATTCGAAAAAGATCCAAGAGGAATTTCAAAAAGGACGAAGCAATTTCCCGCGCGATGTCCGCGCCCAAAAGATCGAACCTGAAGCGAAAGGAACGACGTCAACATTTATTAATTGCGCGCGTTGTGGCGCGCCAGACATCCATCCGACCAATCTCCCAACCGGTCGTCCCCGGACGCACCCAGCCCCGAAGAAGCGACGAAAAAGACGAAGAAGCAAGGGTACTGATGCAATTTTCCACCGATCCCGATTTCCCGTAAGTGGCCCAATCTTCCCAGCTTAGGACCCCTTGTTGCAACCGCGCAGAAACTCGCGCGTTACAGAAAGTGGTTCGTCACAAGGTGGGGGAGAACGCCAACTGGCACGTGCATACATCTTATCCAAAAGAAGGAGTGCCTGGCGACCTCCCTCCACTCCCAAAGCTCACGACATCCACGGCTCAAAGGTTAGCGAATATTTTTTCCCATCCAACTGATTGGCCGGCCCTCAACATCCATGTAGCAATCCTCTTATCCGTTGCCACGTACGTGACTAAATTCCTTCCTTCATTATGGAATAGCCCCCTCTTGGGTTGAGCATCGATCTCCCCTTGCCTAACCCACCCATTCTCATAGATGCGCACTAGGCGTTTCTTCACGCTCACGGGGAGAGACGTGGAGTCATCCCCGAAGAAGATGGACACCGCGTGCTCCTGGAGCCATTCCTCTTGAATGCTCATCACTTCTGGGTTAATAACTACTCGAACATAGTCATCCCCAGTAATAACTGAACTGGGATCTAATTCTTTTGGAAAAATTCCATCAGCATAACACTTAGCAATCAGCCCCCTGATTCTATTCTTTTCCTCGTCCGGACGGGGGTGTTGTTCACTCATTGGAGAAGGAAGAAGAACTACACCCCTCCCCAGAACACCAATCCTCGTAGGGACAGGCCAAAGAATCTACGAACGTAAAAATAATAACCTAATATTATGGCATCCATAAATAGGTCCAAGCAGGCCCCACTCCTCTACTCCATCCAAGTATGTACCCGTTAAAATGGGACTTTACCTTTATACTGCCTGTGTGGACGAGGATTTGAGAAGACTCGGCTCTTGGAAAGTTGACGAGGATTCAAACTTCATTGTCCGTTGACTTCCGTTCGCATCATTGCTGTAGCACAACCAAGCCGGACTCGCCCCTACCTTGGCCGTCCCGAATCTCTCGGAAGGCTCACACCATAACTGCTATAGTGAAGGTAGGCCCTCTAGCCTGGGGCCTCGGAATTGCCGAAGCCGAAGGCGTGGAGAGAAGAGGACTGCCCTAGAGCTGCTAACCCGAAGCGCGTCACCCCCGCATCGGCAGAGGATTAGCGCTCAGAAAATTAGCGCAGCTCACGAGCGCCCGCCCGTAGTACCTTTTTTTTTTTTTTTTTTTTTTTTTTTTTTTTTTTTTTTCCCCCCCCCGCTTCATCAGAACAGATACTACACTTGCCACGCCCGTTTTGCCTTGTAGGCCCACCGCTCCAATCGCCCTCGCCCGCGCGCAATGTTGTTGCCGCCCACGGCCACTTCTCCAATCGCCCGGCACTTCGTCTCTCTTTCTCGACGTGCGCCTATGTGCTCCGTGGTCCGTGCGCGTGTGATCCCCGGTCGGTGCTCTACGGGTGCCTCTCTCTCTCTCTCTCGCGCGCGCGCGCGCGCACTGTGCTCTCTCGTTGGTGGTCGCCGTGGTTCGTGGTTCGATTTGGTGCTCGGTGCTCATCGTGGATACGTGCTCTCCGTGCTCATCTTCTCTCCATTGCTGCTCATCGTGTTAGCTCTTTTGGTGCTCGACGTGTTGTCCTTGGTGCTCATTGCTCTCTCTCTCTCTCTCTCTCTCTCTCTCTCTCTCTCTCTCTCTCTCTCTCTCTCTCTCTCTCTCTCTCA